ACTCTTTATTGACTGGCAAGGAATGGCCTGAAAGTAACACATTTTCTTATGCTAACCATTTCAGCCATAGGATGTGCCACAGTTAATTGGTAACCTAAGAACAGTAGCACCAGCCAGAATTAAATTCACATTAACCTTCTCATCACCACACACTTGTCTGCCTTAATCAGACCCTTTCATCAACTTTCTGTTACATATCAAGGAAGATAGGTGTAATGGTCATGGAGAAAACTACCGTCTCTTTAACTGTGGGGAAAGGTGTTGCATGGGGATGGGAGGAGATGCCATAAACTGGACTAGACAATCAGAAACTGGCTCCTTCACACAATAAATCTATGTGTTCATGCCTGCATAACAGCAACAGCTGCTGTTCTTACCCTTCTCTCTCTCTCTCTCTCTCTCTCTCTCTCTCTCTCTCTCTCTCCCTCTGTATATATGTAAAACTTCCTGCTCTCTTGAACCAAAGCCAGGGGGAGGGGTCAGTCCCCTCCTGTGTCATTCACAAGGCACACTTTTTTCAATATGGTCCATTGAAAGATCCTTTCCCCCCATACCTATGAAACCATTATTGACCATCCACTGCAGCTGGTGATGCAGTTTTGTTCCCTGGAGAAATCTCTGCGGTGTTACATCTATGAATGCCAATTGCTGGTTAAAGGAACAAATATGTGTATGTGTGTGTTGGGGGCAGGGGAGAGAATAACTTGATGTCCTGCTTACAGATTTCCAGAAGCCACTCCTTGGCTACTGTGGAAAACAAGACACAAGATGTTGGAATAAGTGCGCTTTTGTTTTGATCCAGAAAAGCTTGTTTCGTGTCCTTAAAGATGGAACACTTCTGGTTCACATTCCAAGATGGAAATACCTAGCATTGCCAGATCTCAGTTTTACACCCTCTTTCTGAATCTAGAGGCAGTCTAAGAACTTCAAAACAACAACAACAACAACAACATCCGAATAAAAACAACATATGGTAAAATTCCCTCTTAAACACCATTACCAACTTATGCCCTTGTGTCTTGGTGTCCAATCTCTGGATGCCCACATCAATACAGTGGACCCTCGACTTACAGACGGCTCGACTTACATCTTATGCCCTTGTGTCTTTGTATCCAATCTCTGGATGCCCACATCAATAACTAGCCTGATAAAGCACAGAGAGCCTTCTTCAGTTTCCCCTGCCAGTTCCTCTTCATCTGTGTAAAATTCCACAGACATCTGCAGCTCAGGAGTGCCTGATTTGCACCCAAATGGTCTCATGTTCCACCACTTCCACTTGAAAACAGGAAGGTAGCAAGCAGGCCATGGGCAATGCCTCTACTTGAAACCCTGGAAAGGTTGGCTCAAGGCATTTTGCTGCCTGACGTGTGAAATGACAAACAGCCGTTTGACCGTGCATACTAGCCTGATAAAGCACAGAGTACCTTCAGTTTCCCCTGCCAGTTCGTCTTCATCTGTGTAAAATTGCACAGACATCCACAGCTCAGCAGTGCCTGATTTGCACCCAAATGGTCTCAAGTTCCATCCCTGGCACTTCCACTTGAAAACAGGAAGGTAGCAAGCAGGCCATGGGCAATGCCTCTACTTGAAACCCTGGAAAGGTTGGCTCAAGGCATTTTGCTGCCTGACGTGTGAAATGACAAACAGCCGTTTGACCGTGCATACTAACCAAGCTTGCCTGATTTAGTTTAGCAGCTGAGGCAGAAAATATCACAAACAACTCTGCCTCAGCATAAAAATACAGTAACAAGAATTTAAATAGCCGCCTAGAGTGGTCGCAAAGACCAGATAGGCAGGGAATAAATAAATAAATAAATAAATAAATAAATAAATAAATAAATAAATAAATAAATAAATAAATAAACAAACAAACAAACAAACAAACAAACAAACAAACAAACAAACAAACAAACAAACAAACAAACAAACAAACAAACAAACAAACAAACAAACAAACAAACAAACAAACAAACAAACAAACAAACAAACAAACAAACAAACAAACAAACAAACAAACAAACAAACAAACAAACAAACAAACAAACAAACAAACAAACAAACAAACAAACAAACAAACAAACAAACAAACAAACAAACAAACAAACAAACAAACAAACAAATAAATAAATAAATAAATAAATAAATAAAATACAACACACACACGTTCTTTCCATATGTGTGGCTTCCTTCTTTCCTGGGTGTGCATGCACACACATTCATATGCTCAAAATTATGACTTAGCTATTATGACTTAACTATGGGGTGGGGCAGGGTGGGAGGAATCCATGGGGAAGGAAGGGAGAAGCTGCCAATCAGAGACAAGACCTCTGCCTTTTTCTTGCAGAGCTTGTGAAATGTGGAGGCAAGCAGCTGCCTCAGATTTCCTACTATGCCCACCATGATTCTACCCTACATCCTTGTCCTTTCCTCAGGCTCCACAATAAGATAACTGCTGCACCCACCCACACACATACCCAGATTTAGTTGGGGAGATAAGAGAAGCAAACACCCAATGAGTTACAGGGTAGCTTTTTTTCTGAGTTTTAACTGACACCTTGTATGGCATATGGACAAAGATTGGGGCACAGGAAGGTGTACCAAGCCATCCTAATCATGCTAAGAGGCAGCCAGGTAAATGAGAGGACAAGCTGGC